CCATTCATGCTCCCATTTTATAGGCTGAACAAACCACAGTGAAGACACATTGATTGAGGTCATACATGGTTTAATGGTTTCTTTGGTTTTACCTTAATAGCGATCAAATCAATTCATGGTGAATAGTATTACATATATGAACTCATGTTTTGATTAAGAGTCCATCTTTAGGGGAGACATGATAGCGTCCCAATATTTGAGGGGTTTCTATAAAGACAAGGGAGTTTAAACTATTTTTCAAAGCACCAAAAGGCAAGACAAGAAACAATGAATGGAAACTAACCAAGGAGAGAAGCAACCTAAGGAGAAATTTCCTAAGGGTGAGAGCAATCAACCAATGGAATCTTGCCTTCCAAAGTTGCAGGTGCTCCATCACAGGAGGCTTTCAAAAGCTTTCAGGACCACCATTTGTGTGTAGGATCTCCTGTTTGAGCAGGGGGTTGGACTAGAAGACCTCCAAGATCCTTTCCAACTCTTATTATTCTATTGTATTCTATTTCGACTGAATATACTGCAAGGCTCACAATACAGTACAGATGAAAAACAAAGCGGGACAAGTAATGTTGTTGTTAGTTGTGAAGTTGTGTCCCACCCATTGTGACCCCATGAACAATATTCCTCCAGGCCTTCCTGTCCTCTACCTTCCTCTGGAGTTCATTTAAGCTCACGCCTCCTGCTTCAGTGACTCCATCTAGCCACCTCATTCTCTGTCCATCCCCTTCTTCTTTTGCACTCAATCTTTTCCAGCATCAGGCTGGGAAAGTGACCTTATAGTAAACACCCTTTGAATCTACTTTTCCCGTTTTTCTTAGAACTTCCCAGGCCTGTTTTGAACCCTCAGGTTCAAACCGAGAGGGCATAAAACTATGCTAAGGCAGGTGTCCAGGGTATCCTTCTAGATCTAGAAAGTTTAGTGGAGATCCGGAGAGTTTTGGGCATCTTAACAACCGCGTGGCGGGAAAAAGCAGGAGCGGCCCCAGGTGAGCTGCGGGTCCTTCCTGCCAGGCTGTTGTCGGCCCAGAGCACAAAGGGTTAGTTCTCCAAGGGGCCGAGAGAAAAAGGGTGGGATCTGGGCAGCTGTGCCGGCTTTCCTTTCCCAGGCTCTCCAGTACCGGAGCAGAGCGTGGGAGAGGCCGAGGAAGCGGGCCGGCAGGGGTGGGGTTGCCTCGGTTGTCGCCTCACCACCAGCAGCAGCCTGCTCTTTGGCGCTAGGCGCTTGCGCCGGTGAGGAGAACCGCCGCTACCGCCGCAGGAGAACAGAGGCGGCGCGGTTCCCGGAGCGATCCTTTTTCGCGGGCCGGGAGGATCCGACGTCGAAGCCTGGCAAAGGACTACCGAACCTCCCGAGGAGAGCGGCCGAGGTCTGACGGGGAGCTCGCGCGATCCGCCCCGCTTTTGCGTCCTCAGAGCGAGCCTGGAAGCGACCGCCAACTCGGGCAGCGGCGCCCTTCCCAGAGCAGCCCCACTTGGGCTGTTGAGCGCCGGGAAAGCAAAAAGGCGCCTTCCTCTTTCGCCGGGTTCCTGGTTAGGAGAGATCTCCGAGAGAGAGAGAGAGAGGGAGAGAGATGCCTCTTGGCTTTGAATCTTCTTCTCCCACTCCGGACCTTCTTGGGGGCAGAAGTCCGGCGATTCCCGACCGTCCATCATCATCGGTCCTTGGAAGATTCTCCGTCTTGCCTTGTGCCGCGTGACGTTTTTCGGAAGGCGAGAGGAAGCCAACTCCCAGCCCTCAGTAGCTCGGCATTTTGACACGTGTGGGTGTTTGTTTGGCACTTTTTTTGAGTTCCTCCCATCCCCACCGCCGCCACCCTCCGTCTCCTTCGTCGTTCGCGAAGAGGCCTTGCTTTGCTCCTCCTTTTTCTTTGGCTGCAGCTCAGGGAGGAGACCTTAAAAAAATATATATCTCCCTTTTGTGCAGGGACACACGCAAACCCTCGCAGGCGCAGCAGCAAGAACGCGGGTACGTCCACAGTGGCAGAAATAACCAACCGCACACCTTGGTGGGGGGCAGCAAGACAGAGAAAGCTGATCCTAGAGCCCAGGTCCCAAACCTGAGCTACAGATGAATCCAGCGCCTGGGTGTGAGATGAATGGATACAGAAGACTGAGGAAGGGGCATAACTGAGCTGGACCTCTCGGCTGAAAAGAAAACCCGGGTTTCTTCTGAAAAGATGGTGGCTTTATTTGGGCTGGGTTGCTGCTGAAGAGGCTTTATTTCCCCCTTTGTCAAGCTCTCCATCTCAAAGTGGCAGCCAGGAAGAGACTGTAAGAAGGAAGACTCTTGGCAGAGTTGGTTCCCATCTTTGTCATTCCCTCTCTGTGTGGGAGAAAGCTGAATCTGGCACATAAGCTTAAGACAACATTTCAATGGGGCCTGATCCAAAGATTTCAACCAACCTACTTCTGCAGACACCACTGAGAAAACTGGTAAGAAGGGAGAGCAATTTTCTGTGAATATGAAACTGGACCTGATGGAAGAACTGAGAAAGATTGTGGGAGGGTACAGGCAAAGTGGCCAACTTACTTCTATTCTTTCTACCTTATCTTTCCTTAGGGATTCAGGACCCTTTTCTGATTAGATTTGGATGATTGCTGTAAATTAACACGAGGGAATGAATCCAACATTTGTCCCAAAATTTTTTGTTTCTATATTTATTGAGTAAATTTGTCTAGACAAGGCTTAAATCAGGTTGGGTCAATTGTGGTTCAATATGCTGCGAATCCGGGACATGATATTAGCCATAATGTAGTTTGTTGAGCATTGTACAATAATGTGAATATAGCCATGAGTTTTGTTAACCCAGATGAAACACTGTGTTAATGCGACCATTGATTTAGGGGCATAGGCATGAAACAGAAGCTAGAAAAAGTAAAAGAAACAAATATATAATGTTTGATTGGAAAATTAACTTTGCTATCTTCCTACGTTTTTCGAAGCCAGTTGCTTTGATGCCTGAAATTATGAAAACCAGACTAGCTAATCTTTTTAATAAAACGCTTCTGAAACTTAGTCATGTAACATAGTCACTTGTGTTTGTAAAATGTTAATTTTTAATGTGTTCTTAGTACAAAATTCATTTGGGTGAAGTGTCAAAGGGAGTGACAGCTGACGGTGATGGTTTGTTTGTAGAGCTTGGATATTGGTAGAGATTCAACCCATGTTATAGTAGGTCAGATATGAAGGGAAGAGAATCTGTCTTTTTCCTCCCTGCTAATATATTTCTCTCTCAGTCAGGGGCTGTCATGTGTTGGGAAGATGACAACTTGAAAATTGATACTGGAAGAAGCCACTGAATACCTGCTTCTAAAGCTTCCATGCCTTCTGGGTTACTGGGAGCTGAACTGTCGCTGAGGTAACTTTTGCCTTCTAGGCAGATTCTCTTCACAAAGTATCTAAGGATTGGGTAGTGGAAGCCAGCAGGATGCCTCGGAATAGGGCATTCTCGGAGCCTGAATACTCAGTAGAGTATTCGGCAGACTATTCAGTCAGCTTGCCTTCTGACCCTGAGCATGGGGTTGGCCGGACCCATGAGGTGACGGTGAGGAACTCAGGTTCTTGCCTCTGTCTGCCCCGTTTTATGCGACTCACGTTTGCTCCTGAGTCCCTGGAAAACCTCTACCAGACCTACTTCCGGAGGCAGCGTCATGAGACTTTGCTGGTCCTGGTGGTCTTTGCAGCCCTCTTTGATTGCTACGTTATCATCATGTGCACAGTGGTGTACACGTCAGAGAAGCTGGCACCAACTGTGGCAGCATCAGTTGGCCTGGCTGCCCAGATCCTCCTCTTTATCCTATGCAAGTATCAACTCCTGCCTGATCGTGTCACCCGGAAATTCATGCCATACATTCTGTGGATACTGATAGCTGCTCAGATATTCTGCTACTTGGGCTTGAATTTTGCCTGCAACCACGAGGCCAGTGACACAGTTGGATGGCAGGCCTTTTTCGTCTTCTCCTTCTTCATCACCCTGCCCTTGCATCTCATGCCCATTGTTCTTATCTCAGCCATTTCTTGTGGCATCCACACGCTTGTGTTAGGAGTCACCATTGCACAGCAGAAGCAGCAGCAGCTGGAGTCCATCTATGGAATCACCTTGCTGTGGCAGGTAAAAATGATGTGTTGTGAATGAGTGCAAAGGTGCATATCTTCTTCTAGGCTGACAGCTTCCTTTGGGTATTGAGCAGATTGATGGGAGCCATTCATTTAGCTTAATGCTGACATTTCGTGACAATAAGTCAATTGGTTATTTTCCAGTTACCGTATTTTTTGGAGTATAAGACACACCGGAGTATAAGAAACACCAAGATTTTGAAGAGGCAAATTAAAAAAAAAAAAGTTTTTGCATTCTGCAGACCTCCCATTTTTTTAAAAAAGAGTATGGATAGCCTTTAGGAGGCTTGTAGAGTGCTCCTGGGGGATGCTCCCCCAAATGAGCAAAAAACAGCTCATTTTTTGTGAAAATGGGCCCATTTTTGTCAAAAAAAAAAGAGAATGCATGGCCTTTAGGAACTTTGCAGAGAGCTCTTGGGGGCTGGGGGGGCAAAATTGAGCAAAAAATGGTCTGTTTTTCGCTCATTTCTGCCCTCCCCAGCCCCCAGGAGCCCTCTGCAAAGCTCCTAAAGGCTATGCATGGCCATATTGGTGAAGGGGGCGGGGTTTCGGGAGGAAAAAAAATGTTGTATTCAGTGTATAAGACGCACCCAGATTTTCAGCCTCTTTTTTGTGGAAAAAAGGTGTGTCTTATCCTTTGAAAAATACGGTATATATTTTATTATAACTGGAATACAATTACAGTTGTGCTAAAAATTACAAGATGGTAATACTTTTGGAATTCTTTGTGGAATCATTTCTAAAACTTTTGTGGCCTAATGGAAAGGAAGGAGAAAATGAGACCTTTTGATTTTGGATGAAGGATTAGTGAGTTTGTGGGGGAAGATTAGTGCTGCAGATAAAATGACTCCATAGAACTAGTTCACATATGTGGAATTCCAAGCCTAACATACTTTATATCATTTAAATTTCTAGAATCTCAGCCACAATTTCAGAAAGCAAGCAAATGGTACCATGGGTTTCAAGGGCTCATGACTTTGAACACAATTCATTGGCATTGCTGTGTAGGGTGTTGCTATGCTGCACCAGGGACCGGCTCTGTGGAGAAAGGTTTTTCCATGGACCTGGGTTTTTCCGTGGTTTTGCATGCTGCATGCACCCTGCAGAGGGGGTTTCGCTTGTTTGCTGGCATGTTGCGGACCGGTGCCAATCCACGGACTAGGGGTTGGGGACCCCTGTTCTACATGACTAACTGGTCCCTTCTTGCACTTATTCCTATTCTACCAGACATAATAATCCTTAAAGTTTCTTCTTCCACTCTGTTGCTAAAATATAGAGTTTGGGGCACAGAGAGAAAATCCAACAATTAAGTCCAAAATAAAGCTTGTTACACAGATCTATCTTTAGTAATTTTTTAAAAAGAGAATATGCATATAAACATTTTTAAATATTGGAATCCAAAAAGCATTTAGGTTTCACAGTCTGAATTTTATTTGATGGGGCAGGGTGTCAAAACAGAATAAGCCTGTAAGCAGTATTATTTTGTAATGCTACAAATATTCCAGGGGTTCTTCAGTTGAATTGAAGAAGCTTCTTGGATAAGAAGCGAAACATTTCCTGAAAAAAACCTCAAGAAAGTCCAGCTACCTTTATGGAAAAGCACCTTTGGGACAACCATGACCTGAATGATTGAGAATCACCATAGAGAATGCTACAGATAATTTAAAGTTGGTCTCATTTGAGGAAAAGCAGAAATTTTCTCTTGTGAGAGTAAGCTTCCTAAAGAGAATGCTACCAGTCACGTTTGCCATCAGGGATTGTCATGCCTAGACAAATGAGGTGACTCTGTGGGCAACCACAATTTTCAGTGAAGCCGAACTGATTTTATTTCCACTATACTCCAGTTTATCAGCATCTTAACTTATTCTAAATACAATATTCAGTTTTGATATCGGGTATAATGCTGTAATCTAAGATAATGTTCGGAAGAAATAGAGTGGAACCAAACACTGATTAGACTCTTCACTGAAAGTACCTTCCTCCTGCAGAGGTTTTTTTGTTTTTTTTAACTGAGGCAGTGGGTTGGGAGCCAATTGGTATCTAGGAATTGGTAAAAGAAGCAGATAGAGGCAGCAGGTAGTAAGGGAAGAAGAGATGGGAGATGGAAGAGAAAAGAGATCCAACATATACAAAGGCTTTCTGAAATATAGAGTTGGCCCTGCTTGTAACCCAGTTGAATGAGTTGTGAATCATCTTATATAAGTAAAAGCAAATGTTGGATTTAGGTGTATGGTCAGCTGATTTTCCTATGACTTATCTTGGGATGGCATGAATTCTTGATAGGGAAATTCTTCCTCCCATGTCCTATTTTCTCTGGTGTTTCTAGATCGGTCCCACACGGTGCAATTAATTTAGTGCCTATATGAATATATTTACTGTGGTTTCTAAATCATGGTTTATGGCATAGCATGGCATGCTACTGATTTATTGACCAAATAAACTATGGTTTAGCATGGTGCATGTGATCAATCCTTATTTGGTTTGCTTGCTTTTGTTAGGACTGGCTCAATTGCAGTTGCTCGGCATACTGATAATTTGAAAGTCCGTGAGAGCCTTGCTGTATGTGCTCAGACCCTAGGATAGCTTTCCCTGAAATCTGAGCTTTCTGAGTACAGTTCTCCTCATGCTAAGGGGCATATCCAAATGGCTGGGTATCTGGGACTTGCAACCTACAATTGGGAAAAGCTGATCTTTTATTTATGGATAGGTTTATCAAAAGTACTTTTGACTGGGGGGGTTGCCTAGATTTGCACTGAATCTAGATGATCCCTGCTGTTTTTTAAAAAAAGTTCTGTTAAGCAGAGCTGTACAAATTCACAAAAATAAAATGTGGGTTTAACCACCTGTCTCTTTCCCTTTTGCCTATGCAAGTCAGTTTAAATGGCTCAACCCATTTCTGAGACTTTTCAGATTTAGTTGTGTGACAAGTTTGAAAAAAGGACTAAAAGACAATGATTCCTGGCTTTGTCCTAATGAGAACATTTGAAAATTACATGCTCATATAAAAGATTTCACATCCAGAAGTTGGAAACGTAATATGAAGACATGCATGTAGCAATGAAAATGGAACTTGCTATAGTATTGCTGCATCAAGAGTAATAATCAATTTGAAGGCCTCTGAATGCAATGAGCCACAATTCCCCGAACCACTGGCCAGTCGGTCCTGGTGGAAATTAAGGCATGTGATCCAACACATTTGAAATTGGGGAAGGTTGATTATGAGTTGTTCAGCTAGCAAGCGTGAATGACTGAATTAGTAGATTTGTGGTAGAGTTCAGGATCCTGTTACACTCTGTCTCAGGAGAAGTTGTGATGGAGCAATACTGCAAAAAAAAAAATCTTATAAAATCGATCGATGTAATAAAAAATGGAATCATAGAAATTAAATTGACCCTTTTGATGATACCTGTAAAAGACAGGCTTATGCATATTCAGTACCTTGAACAGTATTTTGCATTCTGTGGTGCCCCAGATGAACAAAATGTACATACACACATATTTACCAAATTCTGTCATTAGACATGCTTACTGAAATTCTGGCTCTGCTACAGGAAGCTTTATATGCTAGCCCCCAGTGACTGTAAAAGGGGATTATACTTTGTTTATATTTTGTTTCAATTTAGTAGCCAATGAACTCTAATAGACTCTGGGTAAGTGTACCAAACTAGAACAACCATTAAAAAATAGATCGAAACATTAAACCAAATTGATACCCAAGACTAAAATAATCTTATAGACAACAAAAATTGGCTCTAAGCTCTACGCAAACAATAATACATCAGCTCCAGGTTTTCAGAGCTTTCCAGAATCCTGGAAGAGAGAATGCCATTCTTCTCTGGTGGGATGCTGTTGCCAAGGGGCTGCAATGGAGAGGACATGCCACTTTAATTCTACAAGATGACAAATGCAACAGGACAGAACAACAACATCAGAGTTGGAAGTGACCTTGGAGGTCTTCTAGTCCAATCCCCTGCTCAAGCAGGAGAGAGCCTATACCATTTCAGACAAATGGCTGTCCAATCTCTTCTTAAAAGCTTCCAGTGATGGAGCAGCCATAACTTTTGAAGGCAAGCTGTTCCACTAGTTAATTGTTCTCACTGTCAGGAAATTCCTTCTTAGCACACCTACTCTACCAAAACATATTGGCAGGCAGAAACGATTGGAGACAATTGGGACAAGGCCCTATGTCACACTTTAAAGGGCTTTATAGGTGTTACCAGCACTTTGAATTTTATTCAGAAGCTGCGTGGAATCAAAGCAGCTAGTTTTGTCATCCATGAAATTATGCCATGCTTTTAATTCATGGATTGGAGCAGCTACTTTACTTCCTTACAAGGCACAATGACCAGTTGAGGTAGGTTGGGTGAACTTATTTCTTTCACAAGATGGAATAGTTTGCACTTGTGGGTTTTTCTGCTACATCAATGGAGTGGAGTGTGTCTCAGCAAGAGGAAATATCTCCTTGAAGCAGTTTGCCCACAATTCACATTTTGTCAATAGCTACAGTTGCTATTGTTGTTACATACAATTTCAGACAAGGGCAGAAATGAAAATTCCACACACAAGAAATAGTGCTATGAGCAATGAGAGAATTTGAAACTCTTTTTTTCAATACAGAAGTCCACTTATTGTTCAGATATCGCTGGTATTATGTGATAATCTCTGAAAAGCCTCACATTTGAATTTTGAAAGAAGATATATAGAACAGCTTTTTGATAGTGTTAAGTTGAAAGCAGCTAAGGATTCTTTGTAAGAGTCATGTATAGCAGGAAAAAATGATTTATTATGGTTGTATATGTAGCCGAGGTGGCGCAGTGGTTAGGGTGCAGCACTGCAGGCCACTTCAGCTGACTGTTATCTGCAGTTCAGCGGTTCTAATCTCACCGGCTCAGGGTTGACGGTCACTGCCTTGTGGACGTTGACATTTACGAAGATTAAGTCCAAGTAAGTCCAAGTCCATCCTTCCGAGGTGGGTAAAATGAGGACCCGGATTGTTGGGGACAATAATGCTGACTCTGTAAACCGCTTAGAGAGGGCTGAAAGCCCTATGAAGTGGTATATAAGTCGAACTGCTATTGCTATTGCTATTGTTTGCAGGTACCAAATATTCCTAAATCATTACTTCTGTATTAATGAAGAACTCCCTTGCGCACCTAGGTTTCTCTGGGCCATTCTTTAGCACAAGCGTTCTGGCAGTGATGGATGAATAATGTAAATTGTCAGAGATATTCTGCACTATATATAGTCCTAGAGCAGTAGGTCTCAACCTTCCTAATGCCGTGACCCTTTAATACAGTTCCTCATGTTGTGACCCCCAACCATAAAATTATTTTATGTTTTCCACATTTTTTTGAAAATATGTGTTTTCCGATGGTCTTAGGCGACCCCTGTGAAAGGGTTGTTCAACCCCCAAAGGGGTCCCGACCCACAGGTTGAGAACCACTGTCCTAGAGTCTCTTTTGCTCAAACCAGTGATGTTCGGTGAGGTTTATGGCTGGTAAGGCACTGACACAGTAGTGGGTTTCAAATTTATTTAGACTTGTGGACTTCAACTCCCCAGAAGTCAGGAATTTTTAGGCTTTTAACCCTTGCTTAAATCTGCTCGAGTGATTATAAAACGCCTAAAATCAGACTAGATAAGGCATGTCGTTCTCCTGCCTCCTCCTGTAGAGGGTGCTTTTTAGAGGCTTTTTTTTAACAGTTAAGCAGAGTCATCCACGGTGACTCTGGCAGCAACTAGCTCAGCCTGACCTCAGCTCTTGCCTTTTTCCTTTTACATTTTTTTTTCTTTTCATGATGACAGTGGTGAGGCTCTGCCTCTCCTGCCTCCCCTGGCTGCACGTCCCTGGCTCAAACAGCTAAATGTGTTATGTGTAATAAGTAGCCTTCATTAGGCATGAATAGCATTTGGGACACCTCAATCATATCACTCAAGGTCAAATAGCTCAGCAAAATACTTTTCCACTCATGAAACATCCTTTGAGAAATACAGAAGCATCTCCTTATCTGTTGAACCAGTGATTTCCATGTTTCCATATTGTCGATGTTTGTTTAAATCTCTCATTATGACAAAAATCCCAGTAAATATAAATTCTGAGCTAAAAGGGTATGTTTTTTCTTTTTAACTGGAACAGAAGTCTATTACAGAAGAAAAAGAAACAAATTTGCTCTCAAATGGCTATAAAAATAGGTTAGATTACTAGTAGAGTATGGACGACAAGTAAAATAACATATTGAAAAGTAAGATGAGAATGGTGACGGTAGTGATTATGATGATAAACTTAGTACTCTTAAGAAAACAGAATGAATTCTCTAGGGAGAAAACTGAATTGGACTTACACATTTTTTTCTTATTCCTAACTTGTTTTGTCCAGAAGTATATCCTTACTTGGGCAGCTAGCATCCTGAAAAAAGCACCACAGTATTATTTATTTTAGGCCTTCCCAGAATACTAAATATCTAGAATGTTCTGTTGCTTGTCATGTTCAAAATATCTTGCATTGTCACAAACAGATCATTTTAGACTATTTGACCCAAACAGATTTTTAAAAATTTACACAATTTTGTTTTGAATTGTTATCTAATATCATTCTTTTCCAAAATTATTGTATATTGTTTATGGCTTTAGAATTCCTTTGATTGATGTGATATTTAAGAAAAATTATGCTTTGGGATAGGGATTGTATTTGGATGATGATGTTGATGATGATACTTTATTCATTAAACATGAAACTCAAGTCAACTGACCATTCAAAAATGCATTACAAATACCATTGACTGGTGCTAATGGTTGATACGGGTTGCTGCCAGCATCCTAGGTATCAACCAAGTACCTTCTTAAAATATACGATGTTCCGGGTAGCACAGTTTTTTGCAGTTCTGCTGGTGTTATTGCAGGAAGCTGCAATTTGTTGGTGTATCTTATAAAATTCTTGGACATGGTACCAAGTGCCCCAATGACAAGGGGTTTCACTGTTACATGTTTCATCCATAATTGGGTAGTTTTGGTGGCCAGGTGGCGGTATTTTGTGATTTTTTTCCCCAGTTTCCCAGTTCTTTCTCTTCGACTCTGGCATCTATTGAATATTTCCCAAGGGACTGGGATATGTAGACATTGTTTGTGATGGTGTTCAAGGTATAATTGCAGGGTATAAGCTGTTCCAAGTAAAGCTGTCTTTTGCAGTTGATTGATGTCAATGCCTTTTGTCAATGCCGCTGGTGTTCAAGCAGTGCTCCATATGTTTTGGGATTACGTTCAAGGTGTCTATTACTATTATTGTTCGTTGCATTAATGTAGCAGAGAGACTGAATGCTTGCTTATCTTATGTGCCTGGCAAAATTGCATTCCATTCCCCGGGAATGCTTGTACTTGCATAAATTTGTCAGGTACCTCCAAGTGTATGGGACATCACTTGTCAACAAGGAGACTTTTAAGAATGCTTCTGAGATAACAATTAAATTTTAAATGTTTAATGCAAATTTAATGTAATGTAAACAGTTTATTTAGAACATGAGAAGAGCATAGGTTTTTATATAATTATCTACTTAGCAGTCAAGTAAGCAACAAGCTGCTCAGAGTGATCAGCTAGTTTTGGAGGAAAAATGAGATAAGATTCCAATGGCAAACTGGCAAGTCTTTTAATATAACCTTCCAAATTAGCTTAATTTGAGGAGAGGACACTAATTTGGAAACCACCCATCACTCAAAGAGTGACCCTGGATGGTAAACAATTAAACATAAAAAGATAAAAAACATATATGAGTATTATATTAGGAGGCAATGAAACAAAAATGCAATTATTACAACTGAAAGTTAAAAGGGCGGGGGGCTAACCAACCTGATTGCTATATGCTCCTGAGACCCCAAGCAAGTTGGCAGGGCTAGGCCTTTAGATATTTTCAAAAACCCTGGAGAGTAGTGGCCCATTTAATTTCTGGGCGGGAGAATGTTTCAAAACATGGGTTGGGTGGGGGGAATGGCAGAAAGGCTCTCTTACTGGACCCCACCAGTTAAAATTCTTGAACTGATGGAGTCTGCAAAATACCCTACCCTAACTGGGTAAGGTGAGTCAATGTAGTGGGTTAAAATTAAGGTGATCAGATTTTCAGATTGGTAAAGAGGGACACCTTTGACCGGGGG